TATTGTCTATCCAGTAACTATGTAATGGCCTGACAGATTCTTCCTGCTTGTTGCACAGACAAAATCAGTTTGTTGAGATGATGGTATTGCAGTTGAGATGATGGTGTTGCAGTTGAGATGATGGTGTTGCAGTTGAGATGATGGTATTGCAGTTGAGGTGATGGTGTTGCAGTTGAGGTGATGGTGTTGCAGTTGAGGTGATGGTGTTGCAGTTGAGATGATGGTGTTGCAGTTGAGGTGATGGTGTTGCAGTTGAGGTGATGGTGTTGCAGTTGAGATGATGGTATTGCAGTTGAGGTGATGGTGTTGCAGTTGAGGTGATGGTGTTGCAGTTGAGATGATGGTGTTGCAGTTGAGATGATGGTATTGCAGTTGAGATGATGGTGTTGCAGTTGAGGTGATGGTGTTGCAGTTGAGATGATGGTGTTACAGTTGAGATGATGGTGTTGCAGTTGAGGTGATGGTGTTGCAGTTGAGGTGATGGTGTTACAGTTGAGATGATGGTGTTGCAGTTGAGGTGATGGTGTTGCAGTTGAGGTGATGGTGTTACAGTTGAGATGATGGTGTTGCAGTTGAGGTGATGGTGTTGCAGTTGAGGTGATGGTGTTGCAGTTGAGGTGATGGTGTTGCAGTTGAGATGATGGTGTTGCAGTTGAGGTGATGGTATTGCAGTTGAGATGATGATGGTGTTGCAGTTGAGATGATGGTATTGCAGTTGAGATGATGATGGTGTTGCAGTTGAGATGATGGTATTGCAGTTGAGATGATGATGGTATTGCAGTTGAGATGATGGTGTTGCAGTTGAGATGATGGTGTTGCAGTTGAGATGATGGTGTTGCAGTTGAGGTGATGGTGTTGCAGTTGAGGTGATGGTGTTGCAGTTGAGGTGATGGTGTTGCAGTTGAGGTGATGGTGTTGCAGTTGAGATGATGATGGTGTTGCGGTTGAGATGATGGTGTTGCAGTTGAGGTGATGGTGTTGCAGTTGAGGTGATGGTGTTACAGTTGAGATGATGGTGTTGCAGTTGAGGTGATGGTGTTGCAGTTGAGGTGATGGTGTTACAGTTGAGATGATGGTGTTGCAGTTGAGGTGATGGTGCTGCAGTTGAGGTGATGGTGTTGCAGTTGAGGTGATGGTGTTGCAGTTGAGATGATGGTGTTGCAGTTGAGGTGATGGTGTTGCAGTTGAGGTGATGGTGTTGCAGTTGAGATGATGGTATTGCAGTTGAGATGATGATGGTGTTGCAGTTGAGATGATGGTATTGCAGTTGAGATGATGATGGTATTGCAGTTGAGATGATGGTGTTGCAGTTGAGATGATGGTGTTGCAGTTGAGATGATGGTGTTGCAGTTGAGGTGATGGTGCTGCAGTTGAGGTGATGGTGTTGCAGTTGAGGTGATGGTGTTGCAGTTGAGGTGATGGTGTTGCAGTTGAGATGATGATGGTGTTGCAGTTGAGATGATGATGGTATTGCAGTTGAGATGATGGTGTTGCAGTTGAGATGATGATGGTGTTGCAGTTGAGATGATGATGGTATTGCAGTTGAGATGATGGTATTGCAGTTGAGATGATGATGGTGTTGCAGTTGAGATGATGGTGTTGCAGTTGAGATGATGGTGTTGCAGTTGAGATGATGATGGTGTTGCAGTTGAGATGATGGTGTTGCAGTTGAGATGATGATGGTGTTGCAGTTGAGATGATGGTGTTGCAGTTGAGATGATGATGGTGTTGCAGTTGAGATGATGATGGTATTGCAGTTGAGATGATGGTGTTGCAGTTGAGATGATGATGGTGTTGCAGTTGAGATGATGGTGTTGCAGTTGAGGTGATGGTGTTGCAGTTGAGATCATGGTGTTGCAGTTGAGATGATGATGGTATTGCAGTTGAGATGATGGTGTTGCAGTTGAGATGATGGTGTTGCAGTTGAGATGATGATGGTGTTGCGGTTGAGATGATGGTGTTGCAGTTGAGATGATGATGGTATTGCAGTTGAGATGATGGTGTTGCAGTTGAGATGATGATGGTGTTGCAGTTGAGATGATGGTGTTGCAGTTGAGGTGATGGTGTTGCAGTTGAGATGATGGTGTTGCAGTTGAGATGATGATGGTATTGCAGTTGAGATGATGGTGTTGCAGTTGAGATGATGGTGTTGCAGTTGAGGTGATGGTGTTGCAGTTGAGATGATGATGGTGTTGCAGTTGAGGTGATGGTGTTGCAGTAGAAAGAGATTGGCCATGCAGAAGAACTGGAGTCATTGCTGAAATCAGTTTTCTGAAATGCCTGGAGGTTAGCATTTTTACTGACAATTTGGTGGACAGAGTCTAGGGCACCACTGACAAGTTGGGGCTGAAATTATAGAAGTTGTAAAAAATTGTCTCTGTGCGGCTGAGTCTGCCTCTGGGTAGGGTAATAGATTAGTTGAGTCATAAGTCTGGGTGGTGTCAGTCTGAAAAACATCTTAAAAAAAAAAAAACCAAACCATAGATGCACTCTATAGGAGCAATTGAGAAAGTCACAAATCTTGTGACCTCTGGCCACATTATCCCTGACTAGTAAGGGATTGTAGAAATTACACCTATCTTGTGACCTCTCATAAGTCTTACAAAGGCAATTTCAATAACCAAAACAGGGAGGCAATTAGTTTTACAGAGGTTCTATTATTATTCTTGTTTCAAAATTAAACTATACACTAAATTCCTCCAAAAGTAGCATAGCCTATGCACAGGATGACCAAGGAAAGCTTGGAGGTTAGAAGCAAGTTGGGGAGTCAACAGTTAGATTTCTCTTACTGTCATAATTTAGCAAAGGCAGTTTCACATGTACATCTATTGTATCTTACTGCTAACATTTTATATGTCTTTGATGTATCTCTAATATGATAGTAAGGAAACATCTGTCAATATAATTGTTCACAACATATTTGTTAAGAGTCAGCAAAAAGAAATATATCTTTGAACAATTTTGAAAGTTCAGATGTTAAAACTAATCAGGAATTTAAAAATTTAAAGATTTTATTTACTTGTCTCTGATACAATCCATGCATCTTGGCATCTACTGCACTAAAAGGTATACTAATCAGCTACTGCCGGATGAAAGGCTCATTCATAAAAGGTGTACTTTGGATATTTTAATAAATTGTATTTTATGTTCTGTTTGTTGTTGCTGTTCTTACCAGAAAACTTAGTTTTTTTTGTCTTTAAAAGCATAATTAAGTAATATGTCACTCATCTCTTAACTCAAACCTGGATAAAATTGGACAATATGATTAACTCTAGTTTTTTTCTGATGATTTTTACCATATTTTAAACAGGCTTGAACTGTCATATGACTCTTTGCCAACTTGACATATTAAATTCAAATATAAGCTAATGATTACTATTTCAATTAGTTAAATATGTGTAGACTTTAAAACTGGACTGAATTTTTATAATTTACACATAATCCATTAAGAAAAATTGCTATTCTAATTAGTGACAAAGTAACAAATTAAGATACAAATTTGATTGCTACTTTGAAATCTAAGAATTGCTAATTGCTAATCTAATTAGCACATGCAATAAACTTTGTAAGATATTTCATCAGGGAAAGGAGAAAAATGCAACAATACTAACAAAAGGAAGCATAATAAATATATTTAATGAGCCTGCTTGCCACCTAGGACACAATCTTATAAACAGGAAGTTCCTTTTAAGATATAGTTTAACCTATGGTCATTCAAAATCTGTGTTGTATCTTATGCTCAATCATATGGGTCAATATTTTGTTATACAAAGAGTAAGATGCAGATATCTTTACTTGATAGTGATAATAGTTTTGACAGTTTATTAATAAAAAAAAATAAAAGGATTTATTAGAGAGCAGCTATTCCCTGATAGGTAATGGCTGCTGAAAAACCCTTTAGAATATTTCTAGCACAGGTATTAAAAAATCCTGAAACCGCCATTTTCACAAAACATATAGCATTATTCATCTGTATCTATTATGTTAAACAACATATACAACTTGTGTATGCTCTTTCTATGAGATATGACACATATCTACAATGTCTACAAATTCTTTGTTAAATGTCTCTCTACTTGAAAATCAGGTTGGATCACTTGCTCTTTAATTCTGTCTTGTTGACTGTAGAGAGTCAGTAAATAATGGCATGAATGACTAAGTGCTTTTCTGTTTGGAAACTGCATCTTCTTAGTTTTGTGACCATTGAGACTCAGGTAATTTACTCTCTGATAAATTGGGATTACTTTCTACGTAAAAGTTGCTGGGGATGAAGCATCAAGCAAGGCAGACAAGACTCCTGGCTCCATCTAAATTACATGATAGTGGAGGAGGAGTATAATAAACAAATGGATGTCTAATATAACGTCAAAAAGTGATGAATGCTAGGAGAAAAATGAAGCACAGTGAGAGGACTGCTGCTTTGATAGGATGGTTATGGTAGATTTCTTTGTAGAGGTGACCTCTGAGTAGTAACCATATGAGGGATGAAACCATATGGATTTTGAGGTAAGAATTTTTCAGAAAATAAATATCAATAAATACCAGTGGGATGTTTGATTTGTTCATGTAACAGTAAGGAGATCAAATTCTTTGTTAAATGTCTCTTTACTTGAAAATCATGTTGGTGCACTTGCTCTTTAATGCTGTCTTGTTGACAGTAGACAGTAAATAAATGCATGAATGACTAAATGATTACAACTTATGTTTTAAAAGAACCATAAGACACATTAGTTTTAATTTGCCTTTAACCAACCAAGATAATATGTTGATTAAAGGATCAGATATATTGGCCTAAAGGTGGGAAATCAAAGCTGAAGAAATATATTTGAGAGTGTCCTACAGTTGAGCATGGGACAATGTTTAAGTCATAGGATTGTCATACTTTTCCAAAGAGTATAGCATGTGCTACCATAAATAATGGTTGATGATACAGTTAGAAAAGTAACAAGTAGCCAATCCTATATGAAACTTACTAAGGATTTCCTTCCCCCCACCCCCAGGCATGGTTGGAGAATACAGAAGGGTTTTGATTGATTACAACTCATTTTAAAGAAACCATGTGATTGTTGTAAGAAGAGTCTGTTGAGGCTGGGGAGAAGAATATAAACAGTTTAGAATCAACTGGAATAATCAAGGTGAGAGATTTTGTTGACATTGCTTCAGAGTTGCAGCTCTGGAAGGAAAGACAAGTGGTAAAATTTGGAGCACATTTTGAAGTAGAGCCAACATAGTTTGCTGTTTGGTAGGATTCAAGATTGAAAGTAAGAATTAAAGATTTGAATATCATTGTGATATAGTTGTGAAAGAGAAAAGTCAAGAATTTCCCCATGCTTTTAGCCTGAGTAACAGAAAGGTTAAAAATTATCATTTAATATAATAGAAAAGACTTGGGGAAGATACGTTATTTCATTGGGTGAGTGGGGACAAATTTGATTTCAGACACATTAGTTTTAATTTGCCTTTTAACCAACCAAGATAATACATTGAGTAGAGGATCAGATATATTGGCCTAAAAGTGGGAAATTAGGGCTGTAGAAATATACTTGAGAGTGTCCTTCATTTGAGCATGGGACAATGTGTTAGTCAAAGGATTGACATGGATTGATTCCCTTGGCAGTATATGCAAATAACAAAGGAAGTATATTTGTGTTCTGTCTGATACGCTCTCTGTAAACAATAATATCTCTTGTTTTCCATGTCCACTAAGACTATTAAATACATAAATAAATAAGCTTCCTTACACAAATTGCATTCCCCAAAAATACCTTTTCTTCTGTAACTATGGTATTTTATATATAGTGTGGATAATTCATTTGATAATAATGTAAGAAGGATGCACTTGTTATCCATTCCTAGTATACGTTTTCTCAGATATTTGCATGGCTCATCTCTTTAGAAAAGTATTTCCCATTGTTTTTCAAGTTATGTTGGAATACCTGGAATTAGACTTGCACTTCTGCGGTAGAAAGCTGAAACAACAGTCCTAAGTCAACTGTTTTCAAGCATTGGATAAAACAACACTGTGGTCTTTGAGGGAAAAAAAAAACACGTGAGGTAAGCCTTACATTCACATCAGCTTTCTGACTAGGGACACTCCCCACAACACTGTGCAGAGAGATAGAATTTAAACAGTGAACCTTATTCTTACTGAGCTAAGGCAGATACCAGTTGCAGTAATAGAAAAGACTGTATTTTCAGAGTAAGGTACCAGAGAGAAGTGACTTACAGAGAGGATGTGGTAGGCAAAATTCTATAATGGCCCCTGAGTCCCTGTACCCTGGTGTACACAACTGTATAGATCCCAGGACTTAGAATATGATGAATTTTACTCCCATGATTAGGTTACATTATATGGCACAGTTGAATTTGAATAAGATACATTATTCAAGATAAGCCTAAGCTGATTAGGTGAGTCATTTTTTCTTCTCCAAATAGTTGCAGAGGACATTTCTTCCAGCCATGATGTTAACTGCCCACTGAGGTCACATAGCAAGAAATCCAGGTAACCTTTAGGAGCTGACCTTAGCCACTGGCTGACAGCCAGCAAGGAAATAGGGATGTTAGAGCTCCAGTCTCAAGAAACTGAAGTCTATCAATACCCTGGTGGAGCTTGTAAATATTATTTCCCCAGAGCTTCCAGAAGGGAACACAGCTCTGTCAAAACTTTGATTTTAGCTTTTTAAGAAGCCAAGGTGAGAACCAGCTACTCTATGCCTTGTCCTCTGAGCTTCAGAGCTGTCACTTAATAAATGGATGTTATTTTAAGCTGCTAAATTTGTGGTAATTTGTTTCACAGCAGTCGAAATGTAACAGAGAAGTGGACATCAAAATCTTTGAGGGTTTCCTACAGGTCATTTGTCAAGAGCTTAGCTCTTCATCAGCAGGAAATATTCTTTGAGGACTAAGTAAGAGCAGCTATTGCTTGAGTGAGAGTTGAACTGAGATAACACAGGTTATGCAGTGCTGAGAAATAGTGAAGCTCTGGCCCAGCCAGAGTAGAGAGAATTCTCTGAGCACCTAGCCCTTTCAGTGACACCCCAGAGAATTCACAGATCAGTAATGAGAAATGCTTACTACATGAATGGGCACATCTTAGGACTAAGAACAAAAGTGAAACTAACATTTACAAAGAATAGAGCCAAGTCTGGTGATATCAAAGGATCTCCCAGTAATTTAACTGCTTTCTAGAACCATATTCAATACCCATAAAAGAAGACTAGTTAAGCAAAACACAATAGCATAACATTGAAAATATCCATATAATTAAAACATTCACTAAAGGCAAAGAAGCCTGAAAATATAAAAACAATCAAGAGAAAAAGCAGCCGAAATAAATCTGAAGAAAAAGACTCAAATATTAGAACTGGTAGACGAAGAGTTGGAATAGTAAGTATAATTATGAGTAAGAATGCAAACGAAAAGGAAAACATATAAACAGAGAATCTCAGCAATGACATGAAAAATGTTAAAAGAACCAAATAAAAATATTAATATCTAAAAAATAAAGTACTTTATCTGATATGAAAAACTGCATTAGATAAATTTAACAGCATCCTGAAAACTACAAAGTGAATGGTCAGTTAATGTGAAAACAGAACAATAATAATATTCCATTATTAAAAGAGAAAGAAAAAAAGATAGGAACAAATAAATACGTATTTAGTGTCTTGTAGGAAAATCTCAAATGATCCAACATACATATAATTTGCATCCCTAAAAAAAGAGTGAAATACACTGTGGGGGTAAAAAAAAAAACATGATTTGGAGGGAAAAACATAACTGCCCAAATTTTCCAAAATCTTTTTTTTTTTTTAATTTCAAGCTACAGACCTAAAAACCTAACAAAAAGAAAACAACACCTGGGTGTATCATATGCAAACCTATGTTGAAACAGCCAGAAAATAAAAGCAGAAAGGAGAAAAAGACACATTGTGTATAACATTAGACTGACTCCTCATCAAAACAATAGAAACACCTGTTTAAAGTGTGTAAATACAGAATTCTATATTCTATAAAAATGATGTGAAATTTAAAAATGTTACTAATACACCTAAACTAAATGAATTACAATAAATGCTAATGGGAAGTTTTTTTAATGAAACTCATATCTCTTAAAATAATAAATATATGAGTATAAAAACAGTTTTCTTTTTTAAATTTCACTAAAAGACACTGTTTAAAGGAAAAATGATAACATTATCTTATGATGGTTACAATGCACACAAAGGTAAAATTTATGGCAAAAATAACAAAAATTTAGAGAGGCATAAATGAAATGACACTTATATAAGGTTCTTACATTTTATGTGAAGTGGTACAATATTAACTCTAAGCAGACCATAGTATGTTAATGATGCATATTGAAATAACCAGTCAACCACTAGAAAATATTTAGACTTATAAAGTCTTTAGAAGAGTTAAAATGGAAAACACAGAAAGAAAGAAAGAAACAACAGCAGAGTTAAAATTTTAAAATATGGGACAAATATAAATCAAGTACCAGGATTGTAGATCTAAACCAAACTCTATCAACAATTACTTTAAACATGAATCTAAACACTGTAATTATGAGACAGAAATTATCAGACTGGATTAAATACTGAGACCCAACTATATTCTATTCACAATAAATACATTAAATTTGGAGAGAAAGATGTGGGAAAAGAAAACAGAAAAAGTTATACTATCCTAACAGTTTGTGTAGATAAATTTATATCAGACATAATGGACTTTAAGACAAGGAAGTATTTACAGAGATAAATAAGCATATTTTAAACTATAAAATGATACTGTAATAAGGAAAACATAACCTTTTAATTTTATGGACCTAAATAACAGAACTTTGTGAAACAAAAATTAACAGAACCAAATAAACACAAAAATATAAAACCCTAACTGGAGGCATTAATGTCATATTTTAATAATTTGAAGAGCAACTAGACCAAAAAATCAGGAAAGATATTAAAAATTTGAATCATCAACCAAATTAACTTGTTATTATAGAATACTTCACCCTGCAACTACAGTATGAACATTTACTCATTTTTTTTTATTATTGCATTTTAGGTTTCTACACATGTATTATTCACCAAGATAAACAATATAATGAGTCATAAAATGGGTCTCAATAAATTTCAAAATACTGAAAATATATATAATATGTACTATTATCATAACCAAAATAAATTCAAGATCAATATCAAATACCAAAACATTCCCACATTTTAAAATTAAATAATACACTGCTAAGTGATTCATAAGTCAAAGAAGAAATCATAAGCAAAATTTTGTTTCAAATTTAATAATACTAAACTGAAAATACCACGTATCAAAAATGCAGCAATTAAGGTACCAAATATAACATACATCTTTATATAGTCCTATTAGAAAACTAAGATGTAAAATCAATATTTTTTTTTTTTTTTTTTTGAGACGGAGTTTCGCTCTTGTTACCCAGGCTGGATGGAGTGCAATGGCGCCATCTCGGCTCACTGCAACCTCCGCCTCCCGGGTTCAGGCAATTCTCCTGCCTCAGCCTCCCGAGTAGCTGGGATTACAGGCACGTGCCACCATGCCCAGCTAATTTTTTTGTATTTTTAGTAGAGACGAGGTTTCACCATGTTGACCAGGATGGTCTCGATCTCTTGACCTCGTGATCCACCCGCCTGGGCCTCCCAAAGTGCTGGGATTACAGGCTTGAGCCACCGCGCCCGGCCCCGTAAAATCAATATTTTTATCTTCCGATTTAAAAACTGAAAATAAGAGAAAAAAATAAACCTAAACTGAGTAGAATAATAAAGGTAACAGAAAAAAGTCAATTACAGAAAAACAAGGAGAAAATTTAAAAAGAATAAAAAGAAAAGCCTGAGGACAGGGGAAATCACTGATAATAATACATCTGATATATACACCTATGTATTATATCATGTTTTGCATACCCAATAACTTCCTACTGTATTTTTACTTTCTCAAAATCTTAATATTCAGAATCTTAATTACCATAATATGCCAAGATGTCTTTTGAAATTATTGCTAAATATTTCCTATGATGCCAACTTAAAAAAAGCATAGATTCAGAGGGTAAAAGTGCAGTTTTTGTTACATGAGTATATTGTATAGCAA